ATATATATATATATATACAGTATATGTGTGTGTGTGTGTGTGTGTACATGTTTTTTTAATTCATTAATATGTATAAATGGGGATGGAGTGGTGACAATATTTTTTGCTATTCTCCTGTATTTTTCTCCTGTTAATATACTAAAAAATTCAATAAACAGAAAGACTTTCTGTGTGATGAATAGAAGAGTGTAAATAATTGTACTCCTTTTTTCAGAGGTGTCACACAATGACTCGTGTCCAGACCTACCTGAGATCCAGAACGGCTGGAAGACCACTTCTCATGTGGCGCTTTTGCGTGGAGCCCGTATCACGTATCAGTGTGACCCAGGGTACGACCTGGTGGGCAGTGAAACCCTGACCTGTCAGGTAGACCTGAGCTGGAACACGCAGCCTCCGTTCTGCGAGAAGAGTGAGTCAAGCACAGTTGGGTGTCTTTGCTAATTAGATTCTAAAATAACTTTAACTTTCAGCAGAATCAAATGTCATCCTTCTCTGCTGTGTCTCCTTTTCCCGCTTCCCCTCATTAGTTATGTACTGCACAGACCCTGGACACGTGGAGCACTCCACACGCACACTGTCTGATCCCAAACTCTTGGTTGGCACCACTATCCAGTACAGCTGCATTCCCGGATACATCCTGCAGGGCGGCGCCACTCTCACTTGCTATGGTCGAGAACCCGGCACCCCTGTTTGGACGTCTCGCTTGCCTCATTGCGTTTGTGAGTTCCGACAAATGTTTTGTCCAAAATTTCTGTATTTTATGTTTTAGTTCCTGTTTAATCCCTCAATTATTCCTGATTTAATTTCCTGTATATTAGCGGAAGAGTCAGTGTCCTGTGAGAATCCTGGCCTTCCTGACAATGGCTACCAGATATTGTCTAAAAGGCTTTACCTACCGGGAGAGTCTGTAACCTTCATGTGCTTCCAAGACTATGAGCTTATTGGTGAGATGGCTATCAAGTGCATTCTGGGAAATCCCTCTTTTTGGAGTGGTCCATTACCTCTTTGCAGAGGTAAGAATCATATATGGTATTTACAAAAAAAATATGTACCCATATATAATATGTATGTATATAAATGTATAGGGTTAAACCTTTATACCAAGATTTATTTATTTATGTGTTTATTTATTTTCTACTATAATAATAATAATAATCATTATTATTATTATTATTATTATTATTATTACTTTGTTACTGTTATTTTACTTCCCAACAATTACAAACTAAGCTGCATAACAGATATTTTGTTTTCAAATGCATTTACAAATGTATTTAATGAATATTCAAAGAGTATATTTATCATTTTAAAAATGAAATATTGTCTTAGAATATTCATTACATTTTTGTAATGCACCTTCATAACAGATGTTTAATTTTCAAAGGTATTTAATTAATATTCAAAAAATGTATATTTAAAAAATTAAATATATTCTAAGAATACTTAGAATATTCATTAAATTTATGTTATGCAGCTTCATTAGGGTAGTAATAAATGGAAAACAAAGTGCAAATGTTGGTATTACCATTTTGTGATCACCATTACTTATTATATTTTTTACTTATTACACTATTTATTATATATATATATATATATATATATATATATATATATGTCTAATATTATTATTTCATTAGATTATAATATTATTTATTAAATGCTGATGTATTAAATATATTTATTTTTACCCAATATATTTCAGCCAATCATGAATGCTCTAGCAGTCATGCACTAGAGGGTAAGTTTTATTTTTTTTATGTACTAATTTAAGCAAAGGTTTAGTTTGTTTAGATCTACTGTAAGTGTCTACCTTTAATATCACAAGCAGCATAGGTGCATTGTTAGCAGAGAGATTATATATTTCTAATGTTTGATAGATGTAGTGTGTAAAGCAGGTGGAAATGAATTATTAACGTATATATTATCCTTGCATCTTGTCTAGTGGCTGAAGCCGCGGCAGACTCTTCTTTTGATGGGGGAAGTATGGCTCTAGCAATATTTATACTGGTGCTGCTAGTATCTGTTTTACTGGGAGGAGCCTACATCTATGTCACGAGGTGAGCAATACAGACAGTGAAAAGTGTTTACTAATTGTACAACAATAAAGAGCTACCGTTGTTCATGGGCACTTACACATGTTCTGTTTCTGATTTAATAAATTGCTCAAAGCTAATTGTATTAATAAAACGGTGCTTAGAGTCACCACTTTTTGTGAAATGAGAGTGGTTTCTTCATAAAGCATGTAATGGCTTGAAGCGCAATGATATGTGTAGGTGGGAAAACAGCATGACTGTCCATTGCTGATGTGAGAGAACATGCTGCGTTTGTACCACTGTGAAACACTCTTCTCTGTTCCTCAGGTGCCGTTATCATTCAAACCTGAGACTTCCTCTGATGTATCCGCATCCCTACAGCCAGATCACCGTGGAAACCGAGTTTGACAACCCTCTCTACGAGACTGGAGGGGTGAGAATCTCCCAGAACACCTCAGTAACCACACAACAAGGCCCTTGCAATCACCTAGAACATCTAAGCAACCATCCAGAACCCCTTAGGAAACTAATATTCTGGAAAACTTCCAAAACACTCCACCTAGCAGCCATCCAGAACCCCTTGGGAACTACATGGTACTGCCTTGTTCCAGAGCAACCTAGCAACCACACAACAATCCTAGCGATCATCCAAAGCATCTGAGCAGCCACCTAGCAACTCAATGTCATCATACCTTAAAGAACACCCTAGCAATCACCTAGAAATTCCCTAGCAACCACCAGGAACCCCTTGAGAACTTCATAAAACTACCCAGAGCACCATAGCAACCACCCAGAAACCTTTTGGGAAGTAATTAGCACTGTCCTGGTAACCTCTCAGAACACCCTAGAAACCAGTTGCTACAAACGTAGCTAGCAACCATCCAGAACCCCTTGGGAACTACATGGCATGGCCCTGGGAACCTGCTAGAGAACCTTAGTCCTGGCAATCATTCAAAACACCCTAGCAACCACCTAGTAATTCCCTAGCAACAAACCAGAACCTCTTGGAAACTACATAATGACAGCCTAGAAACCACCCAGATCACCCTAGCAACTGAAAACACGGAAAACACCCTAGCAACCACCTAGTAACTCCCTAGCAACAAGCCAGAACCTCTTGGAAACTACATAGAAACCTCCCAGGTAGGAAACCTACATAGAAACCCTGGAAACCTCCCAGATCACCATAGCAACTGCATTTAGAAAATCTCTAGAATACCATTAAAAACACCCTAGCAACCATCCTGAACCACCTAACAAGAGCCTGGAAATCACCTAGAACGCTTTAGCAGCCACAAGTGTTTATTTCATGATCACAAATTGGAAGATCCTCCATAATGGCTGTAATTCTCATGTTTATGTTGTACAGGACACAAGAGAATATGAGGTGTCCATATGAAGAGGCCCACAGACACATCCCGTACTGCTCCAGTGCTTACAAGAAGTGATGTAAATAGATCCTGACAACTCCACTCTCCCCACCTCCCCAACCTTAAGAGGACAGAGAGGGGCGTGAAGGGAACGGGGCTGTGAAACAGGAAGTACCAGTGCAGAGATCGTTTGGCCAGTAGACATTACTGTGGTTTTACGACATGTGATTCGACACGTATGCGCTCACAGCCGGAGGTTCTTATTCTGCCATTCACAAACGTGTGTGTGTGTGTCCAGCGAGTGGAAAATAACAAGTGAAGAGTTTGCACAGTGTTCTTATGTGATTTACGGGACAGTTTAACCCTGGGGTTCATAACCCCTTTGCTCCGATACGAAGGGGTGGTAGTGGCGCCATCCTGTGTGTGTCTGTGGCCCGTCCTGCCTGCTGTCATTTTTAAGTCTTTTTACTTAGAGCAGTTCGTAGTGCAGGTTTTAAAGTAGTATTTTTCCCCTGCAAGTGACGTCCTACTGCAGCAGAGAGCAGATGATGTATTTATTTTGAAGTATATGTGAAATGTTCTCTGCTGATTAATGAATACTTCATTTTGGAGAGCAAGAAAAAAAATGTAACTGATTTCTCTAAAGAAATGTGAAAAATAAATAAATTAATTTAAATCTTTTCTAACACTGATGTGTCCTGTTTTATTTTAAGAGATCTGACAGATGTGGAGCCCTAAACCTATTTAAATAATTACATTCAGTCTTGAATTTACTTTTGTATTACTTTTGCCCCCTTAATTTATTCTGTTCTGTTAACTTTATTTTTTTATTCTTTCATTTTATTTATTTATTTGTTTATTAATAGAACATTTATGCTCCAAATTCTGCCTACTGGAAAGAAAATGTATAAATACAATTCTGTAAAATAGAGACTTTTGCTAGAGTCCCCTATGGAAGCTTATTTCCACACAAGATAAAAAACAAAAACTTTTTTCTCACAATTATGAGGTTGTCTGACAATTCAGACTTTTTTTCACCGCAATCCTAAATTTATTTCTCACAATTCTGACTTTTTCTGAATTCTGCATTAAAGGAACACTCCACTATTTTTGAAAATAGGCTCATTTTCCAACTCCCCTAGAGTTAAACAGTTGAGTTTTACCGTTTTCGAATCCATTCGATCTCTGGGTCTGGCGGTAGCACTTTTAGCTTAGCTTAGCATAGATCATTGAATCTGATTAGACCGTTAGCATCTCGCTCAAAAATGACCAAAGAGTTTCTATATTTTTCCTATTTAAAACTTGACTCTTCTGTAGTTACATCGTGTACTAAGACCGACGGAAAATGAAAAGTTGCGATTTTCTAGGCCGATATGCTCTCATTCCGGCGTAATAATCAAGGAACTTTGCTGCCGTATCATGGGTGCAGCAGGCGCAATGATATTACGCAGCGCCTGAAAATAGTCCCTGTTAGGTAACTTCCAATTAGCCTATTTTCAGGCACTGCGTAATATCATTGCATTCTTGATTATTATGCCGGAATGAGAGTATAGTTCCTAGCCATATCGGCCTAGAATATCACAACTTTTCAATTTCCGACAGCCTTATTACACGATGTAACTACAGAAGAGTCAAGTTTTGACATTTTTGAGCGATATGCTAACGGTCTAATCAGATTCAATGATCTATGCTAAGCTACAGCTAAAAGTGCTACCGCCAGACCCGGAGATCGGCTGAATGGATTCGAAAACGGTAAAACTCAACTGTTTAGCTCTAGGGGAGTTGGAAAATGAGCCTATTTTCAAAAATAGTGGAGTGTTCCTTTAAATTAAACTCCCAATTGTGAGTTTATAGTAGTAGCTCATAATTGATAGTTTATATTAACTTCAGACATAAATTCACAATTTTGAGAAGCCTCAAAGTAAACGTTACTTTTTATTCTGTGCCTCAAACAAAAAAATGTCAAGAATTCACAGAAGAGAGAATTGTGAGTTTATATCTCACAATTCTGAATTGTGAGTTTATATCTCACAATTCTGACTTTGTTTTGTCTTTTATTTTATTCTGTGGTGACTGTACATAGTCTACTGCATTTCATTTGTTTTTCCTGAGAAAAGGTCCACGGTAAATCGGAAGCAAATGCATGCAAAAACATTTCCCTATTGGTATGTCAACACATTTATGGAGTGGAAACACCTAGCCTTCAACTCACACGCAAGAGTCACATTTACAGTGAAAGTTTTGCATGTTATCTCGTTTCTCAGTCCACCCATTTCCTTTGATTGTTTCATCTTCTTTTGAAAACGATACTGTTAAATGGGTGCATTACTATCAAATTTGCACATTTTTATACATGTTACCAAAGAATCGTTCAGCAAAAATTGAGCACATTTGAGGCCCAGACAGACAGGAAAAGAAAAAGCCACTGGTTGTGGCTGTCAGTAGAGATCTGAACTGTTAGTCTGAATGTTTTTTAACTACGTTCGCTTCCTCTTTGTGCTTTCTGCCCATTTGACTTCATGGCAGAGCATTGAGCCTGGAGATCATGCAACGTTCAATGTTTGTCGCGTGAAGGTCAGTTAATCATTTCCTTAATGAGTTGTGTTTAATGCAATGCCTTTCATATCACTTTATCAGTGCAGTATATTTTTTTCAGCTCTACATGTAGCCTGTATTTCCTGTGCATGTGGCATAAACCACTTTCACTTTTTTAATATGCAAAAAAAGTGATTTTTAAAGAATGTGTAATTCAAAGATAAGGTCAAAAAGCTTTGTAAGGCACTAATATTTCCTGTAACCAGTTTTCTTGCTGTTATCAACAAAACATTTGCAGAAGTAGTCAACAGAGGAAGTACAGTCACTTCTGTGTTTAAGCATAGCCTTTTTTCTGTCTTGGCGTGATGCGGCTTTCAGTCAAACGGGCAGTTGTACTCCTGCTAACGCTCTTCGGAGCTTGTACGCTTACTAGGACTCTATATGAGGTGCTAACATGCCCTGGAGAGGTTCCCAGAACTCATATGGTGTCTATACGGGCTCAAAAATGGAACCAGACACAGTACCGGTATAACCAGAACACACCGATGGTGTTTGTGGGTGGGGTTCCACGATCAGGGACCACCTTGATGCGTGCCATGCTTGACGCCCACCCTGACATCCGCTGCGGGGAGGAGACGCGGGTGATCCCCAGGATACTGTCTCTGCGGCAGGGCTGGGGGAGGCAGACGGAGGAGCGCTGGGCGCTGGAGGACGAGGGAGTCAGTCAAGAGATGCTGGACGCTGCGACCAGAGCGTTCCTGCTGGAGGTCATCGCACGGCACGGGGATCCTGCGCCACTGCTGTGCAATAAAGACCCCTTTACACTGAAGAGTGCTGTTTATCTGTCACACATTTTCCCCAAGTAAGATATCTCCTTTTTAGAGGTGCATTCAGGGATTTAATTTATTCATTTTTTTTGTTTTGTTTTGTAAAAGGTTTTACACAAAGACATTTGTAGTCCTTATGAAAAATATATTTACACTTATTTATTTCACATGGACTGAGTTCCATCATGAGGGCCAACGTGTTTTCATAGAAAAATGTAAAAATCTAGTTGCTGATAGAGTCTAGAAGTGTTGTTTTTATTTTATTTGAAAGTTTTACACAAAGACATTTGTAGTACTTCTGAACAATATGAATACGCTTATTTATTTTACATGGAGTGAGTGCCATCATAGTGGCCAATATGTTTTCTTCATAAAATAAAAATAAATCTACTTTCTGATATAATCTAAAAGTAATGTTTTTTATTGTTATTATTTTAGTTATATTTTTATTTGTTTTTTTAATTATTATTTAGAAAATATACATGTTAGCACAATAATAATGCTTGATAAATACACACACACACGTATATATATATAATTTTTTATGGTAAGCAACTGTTTTCTCAAATGTTTCTTGAGCAGCAAATCTGCATATTAGAATGTGCATTGCTCTTCAACTGGAAAAATGTCTAAAACAAAGGCAATGCTTTGTGCTGCATAAGTGTTGTTTTTATTTTATTTGAAAGTTTTACACAAAGACATTTGTAGTACTTCTGAACAATATGAATACGCTTATTTATTTTACATGGAGTGAGTGCCATCATAGTGACCAATATGTTTTCGCTTTGTGCTGCATAAAGCAATGCCAGCAAAATCCTTTTCATTTCTTGCTTTTTTCATGACATTTCAGTCTTTCTGTCTCACTCCTCATGCCATCATCTGTCCTTTCAGCTCTAAATTCCTGCTAATGCTCAGAGACGGCCGGGCGTCTGTGCACTCTATGATCTCCAGACGAGTGACTATCGGTGGCTTCAACCTGTCCAGCTACAGGGACTGTCTGACTAAATGGAGCAATGCAATCGAAGCCATGCTCTCCCAGTGTATGGCAGTAGGCCGGAGTCGCTGTATGACCATCCGCTACGAGAATCTGGTGCTGCAGCCACGAGCCACCATGCAGCGTGTGCTGCGCTTTCTGAAATCACCGTGGCACGAAGGGGTGCTTCACCATGAGGAGGCCATCGGGCAGCCTGGAGGAGTATCACTGTCTCGGTAGGGCGACATTACATTTAAAGGATAGTTCACCCAAAAATGAAATTTCTGTCATCATTTATACACCCTCTACTTGTTCCAAAGCTGTTCTTTCTTCTGTTGAACATATTTTGATATTTTGAAGAATCTTGGTAGCCAAACATAGTATTTTCTTCCATACTATGGAAGTCAATGGCTACCATCAACTGTTTGGTTCTTCAAAATATCTTCTTATGTGTTCAAAGCTGAAAGAAATCCATACCTGAAAGAAATCTGAAAGAAATCAAAGTTTTGGGTGAATAAATGATTACAGTATTTTCATGTTTGGGTGAACTATCCCTTTAATGTCTTGGGTGCCGGCCTTCCACTGTTCCCCTGACTATCCTCGCTTTTCACCTTGTTTTTAAGAAGTGAACGCTCCACAGATCAGGTGATCAAACCAGTTAACCTGGAAGCCCTCACACGCTGGGTAGGCCACATCCCAGCAGACGTCCAGCAGGACATGGAGAACATTGCGCCAATGCTGCGCAAGCTGGGCTACAACCCCAAAGCCAATCCACCAGACTATGGTCAACCAGATCCGGAAGTGATCAACAATACTGAAAGGGTATATTTGAACACAGAATATGACATACAAACTGCATTTCAATTCATTCAGTGCAGCTCAAGGATCCGAGTTGCTATAGTTATTTAGTCATAATTTCCAGTTTTCCATGTCTTTCCTAGGTACTGAGAGGAGATTTTAAAACTCCCATGAGACTGAAAAGATTGGTACAAGTGAGTGCAAGCTTTAACGTTTTTAAAGCCTAGTGTATCATATTTGATATGGATATTTCTAAGGCCTCTATTTAAGTTTATACTTGTTTAGCGAGTAAAAGGTCTTTTCTAAAAACTTTCTCCTTCAGGTTGTGGTACAGAAGTGTTTTAGCTGTGAAATAGTAAACATAAGTATAACTTTTCTATTGTTAGTAATATTTCAAGAGAGTGACAATGCAGTAGTCTGCTATATTGTTACACTCTAAGACATTAAAATATATCTCAATGTACCATGTTAAAATGAAAATGTGTTAAAAGGTGTTTTTCCTCTATTTTGAATTACAGTATGCGTTGCATTGTGTAGTGTTTGAGGATTGAAGGAAATGTTCAAGCTTCACAGAAAATTTCACCAAATTTCATATTTTTGCTCAATTTAGTTTTTTCTTAAGTATGGGCTCCATATTCTTCTATATCATACTATATGAGCCATAAAAGCCAATTGTAACAAATACCTGTCCCCAAAACCCCACGAACACACCAAATAAACATATGTATATATATATTTTACGTTCCCAAAACAAATGTATAAAATGCGTCTTTGTATATCTTCAACATAACGCATGTATTAATGCTTCCCACAAAATCAGGTTCTCAAATCGAATGTCTGCAATTGTTTAAATAGTGCGTCGGGCGTAGCGGCGGAAGGATACAGCGCGTTCTGTATAAATAGCCGGACCTTTTGTTTTGAGTCGTATTCGCTCCCGTGACGAGAGGATAAAGACGCACGCATTCCGCACTCTTCCAGAAAAGAACATTTGTTTGTGAGTATGAAGTAAAACGTACATAAACGACGCCAGCTATATCGCTACTTAAAAACAACAGTATTTTATTTGACTTTAAGCGCTTGTGGAATTATATAAACGTGTATTTTTGAATGGGCTAACGGGTTAGCTTTTTAATGCTAGCCGGCCTGGTCGTTTCTGAGGACTAAATTTGACCGTCTTTGTAATTTCATGTGGATTAATATTAAAATATTATGCATCGATGTGTTTTATGTATGTTTTGGGCTCGTTCGCGAATTTGGCCGCGAATTATGCCGCTAAACAGTGCGGTGAGGTCTAAATCTCAATTCATCTGCGTATTTTCTTTCAGTAACATGTCAGCAATCGACACGTCCTTAAACATGTACCTGGTCGAAATATAACTCATCAATAGGTATTTATCTGTGGTTATCAATGTTTTTGTTACGTTGTTGTTGTGTTCTGGCCATTTTCTCTGGTAAAAGTCGCCATTTTGTTTTCAGTCGCCCACTTTCGTTACGCCCTGCCTCTCAGCGGTGTCAGCAGTAGTGATGCTGTTTGCTCGCGAACCTTGTTTTGTTTCACTTTCTTTTATGAAGAAACTTCTAGAGAATTCTTAGGCTTGTCTCTCAATACTAAATGAACATGTGCTTTATAGTTTTTTTTTTAGCAATGCAGCACATACGTTGACGTTAATTAGTTTGAATATCTTTTTCTAGCGTAAAGATGCAGATCTTTGTGAAGACGCTGACTGGCAAGACCATCACCCTCGAGGTTGAGCCCAGCGACACCATTGAGAATGTCAAAGCTAAAATCCAAGACAAGGAAGGCATTCCTCCTGACCAGCAGCGTCTGATCTTTGCTGGCAAGCAGCTGGAAGATGGACGCACACTGTCCGACTACAACATCCAGAAAGAGTCCACCCTCCATCTCGTCCTGCGTCTGAGAGGTGGTATGCAGATCTTCGTCAAGACGCTGACTGGCAAGACCATCACCCTCGAGGTTGAGCCCAGCGACACCATTGAGGACGTCAAAGCTAAAATCCAAGACAAGGAAGGCATTCCTCCTGACCAGCAGCGTTTGATCTTCGCCGGCAAACAGTTGGAAGATGGACGCACACTCTCCGACTACAACATCCAGAAAGAGTCCACCCTCCATCTTGTCCTGCGTCTGAGAGGTGGTATGCAGATCTTCGTCAAGACGCTGACTGGCAAGACCATCACCCTCGAGGTTGAGCCCAGCGACACCATTGAGAACGTCAAAGCTAAAATCCAAGACAAGGAAGGCATTCCTCCTGACCAGCAGCGTTTGATCTTCGCCGGCAAACAGTTGGAAGATGGACGCACACTCTCCGACTACAACATCCAGAAAGAGTCCACCCTCCATCTTGTCCTGCGTCTGAGAGGTGGTATGCAAATCTTCGTCAAGACGCTGACTGGAAAAACCATCACTTTGGAAGTTGAGCCCAGTGACACCATTGAGAACGTGAAGGCCAAGATCCAGGACAAGGAAGGCATTCCTCCTGATCAGCAGCGGTTGATCTTCGCTGGCAAGCAGCTTGAAGATGGACGCACGCTGTCTGATTACAACATCCAGAAGGAGTCCACCCTCCACCTGGTGCTCCGTCTGAGAGGTGGTATGCAGATCTTTGTGAAGACCTTGACTGGCAAGACCATCACCCTCGAGGTTGAGCCCAGCGACACCATTGAGAACGTGAAGGCCAAGATCCAGGACAGACACCATTGAGAACGTCAAGGCCAAGATCCAGGACAAGGAAGGCATTCCTCCTGATCAGCAGCGTCTGATCTTCGCTGGCAAGCAGCTGGAGGATGGACGCACCCTCTCTGACTACAACATCCAGAAGGAGTCCACTCTCCACCTGGTGCTCCGCCTCAGGGGAGGCATGCAGATCTTTGTGAAGACCTTGACTGGTAAAACCATCACTCTTGAGGTGGAACCAAGTGACACCATAGAGAATGTCAAGGCCAAGATCCAAGACAAAGAAGGCATTCCTCCTGAGCAGCAGCGTCTGATCTTTGCTGGTAAGCCGCTGGAAGATGGACGCACCCTCCCTGACTACAACATCCAGAAAGAGTCCACCCTCCATCTCGTCCTGCGTCTGAGAGGTGGTATGCAGATCTTCGTCAAGACGCTGACTGGCAAGACCATCACCCTCGAGGTTGAGCCCAGCGACACCATTGAGAACGTCAAAGCTAAAATCCAAGACAAGGAAGGCATTCCTCCTGATCAGCAGCGTCTGATCTTTGCTGGCAAGCAGCTGGAGGATGGACGCACCCTCTCTGACTACAACATCCAGAAGGAGTCCACTCTCCACCTGGTGCTCCGCCTCAGGGGAGGCATGCAGATCTTCGTCAAGACGCTGACTGGCAAGACCATCACCCTCGAGGTTGAGCCCAGTGACACCATTGAGAACGTCAAGGCCAAGATCCAGGACAAGGAAGGCATTCCTCCTGACCAGCAGCGTCTGATCTTTGCTGGCAAGCAGCTGGAAGATGGACGCACACTGTCCGACTACAACATCCAGAAAGAGTCCACCCTCCATCTCGTCCTGCGTCTGAGAGGTGGTATGCAGATCTTCGTCAAGACGCTGACTGGCAAGACCATCACCCTCGAGGTTGAGCCCAGCGACACCATTGAGAACGTCAAAGCTAAAATCCAAGACAAGGAAGGCATTCCTCCTGACCAGCAGCGTTTGATCTTCGCCGGCAAACAGTTGGAAGATGGACGCACACTCTCCGACTACAACATCCAGAAAGAGTCCACCCTCCATCTTGTCCTGCGTCTGAGAGGTGGTATGCAAATCTTCGTCAAGACGCTGACTGGAAAAACCATCACTTTGGAAGTTGAGCCCAGTGACACCATTGAGAACGTGAAGGCCAAGATCCAGGACAAGGAAGGCATTCCTCCTGATCAGCAGCGGTTGATCTTCGCTGGCAAGCAGCTTGAAGATGGACGCACGCTGTCTGATTACAACATCCAGAAGGAGTCCACCCTCCACCTGGTGCTCCGTCTGAGAGGTGGTATGCAGATCTTTGTGAAGACCTTGACTGGCAAGACCATCACCCTCGAGGTTGAGCCCAGCGACACCATTGAGAACGTGAAGGCCAAGATCCAGGACAAGGAAGGCATTCCTCCTGACCAGCAGCGTCTGATCTTCGCTGGCAAGCAGCTGGAGGATGGACGCACGCTGTCCGACTACAACATCCAGAAGGAGTCCACCCTCCATCTCGTCCTGCGTCTTCGTGGGGGCAATTAATCTGCTCATGATGTTTATTATATAGGTCTTGAAAGTTATCAGACCAATTCCAGTATCCTTTGTTCCCTCTTAATCCTTCAATAAAGTTATGGCATTCCTGATTCTCTTGTTTTGTCATCTCTGAAATCATTCACAAAATTGTCACTTTAAAAATGTACAATGTGGCGTTCAAATGTTTGTTAAAAAAAAAAAAAAAAACTGGTTTGAAAATCAAATGATCTAAAGTTGATTTTTCTCATGCGCTTTCTAGTACAGTAGTCTACATTTGAAGTACCTTTTGAAGACACACAAAACCTTTCATCAAAGTTGTCCTAAAACCCAAACAATATCTGTTGTCTTGGGACAACTTTGAATTTTTTTTTTTTTTTTTTTCACTTCAAATGTTGACTACTGTATTTAATCTCATTTGCTAGAAGTTGCATTTCATCATTGGTAATATTACACTGGAATCAAAGTTGCATAGAATTGGTAAGTAACGCCTTTAAATGTGAGATTTTGGAGATCTTTACAACTTAAACTTATTGCTGTTAATAAACAAGCCGCTAGATGTCACCACAGGTTTGTGGAAAGCCATGTGACCCCTTTTAATGCTCTTATTTTTGAAGTGGCTCATGTCTGTGTTCTGGCTGTCTTGTAAACGTTATCTGACCCTGGAGTCATGGTGCTTTAATGGGTAACGATTAAACGCCGGTACCCTGACACTTAAGTTATTTTCTATTGCAGATGGCCTTTAAGTACTTTGGTAATCTGTTGCTGGAGGGCAACTGTTAATTAGTTTGTTTACCTGTGAGAATTGCCATTTTTATTTTTTTTAGCTTGCCGTATATTGTTATGGGGTGGGGCATAGATATTTACTGGTCAAATTGTCTCAATTTGAAAATAAGTATATTGCAACATCTGCTTTGTTTGCTACTGTTCAGTCAGTTTCTTCTGGCATCAGATACTTCTCATTATTGACCAGGAGTACTAACTGGAGACAGTGCGTCTTGAGCATCCTTAAGGTGTGTATTGCTTAAAAATACAGATCAACCTTTGTGTTAGGAGACAAATGTCACCACTGAATTCCAGATGGATCGCATACAACGTCTCACCTACTTTACTGCATTGTCACTTCTGTTTCCAAAAGCACAACAAAGAATTTATTCTGATGTCAGTGCAAGAATCAGTCCAGCCGGGTCTAACGAAAATATTATCTGGTCTTCTAAAAAAAAAATATTGCTGTACTAAAAGAGAAACAAGCCATGGGCTAAAAAAAAGAATAAACCCATTAACCTGTTGATGGTCTGTTAACTGAGAAATATATGTTCAACATAATTAAAGAAGGCGCTGTGAATAATATTTGTAATGTTTAAAATGTGAGATCCATCTGATTTGAACTTAAATTATTTTAACTCGCTGTGCTGAGATTAATGGGCCTTTTAATGAAAACATTTAAATGGACTTCGTCTATATCATAGTGTGACTGGAATGAAATTGTTTCTAAATGTAACCGTTAATTTCATGTAGACAGATTTCTGCTGTCACGGTGTCATGTGTTTTCAGAATGAAAGAATGTCTTTCATGCATTTCACGCAGATACATTTCTGTGCACCAGTAAATATCATTCATAATTTGAGTCTTATCATATTTGTCATGCCCTTAAAGGCCCAAAAAGTTTGAGCAAATGTGCTTGTTTCCTTCACTAGGTTTCCAATCTGGATTTGGAATCAAAAATCACATGAATAGCCTCTTTAAAAAGCTCTTTTGATGTCGTTTTGCCTTCACCCTGATTGACATTTCATATAAAAGATCAAGCAGGGTGAAGGTTTTGGCCCTCTTACACACTGGAGGAAGGATTCATTGATGTAAGATTTGCTCTGGCACCCAAGAGAATCCTCATATCATATAAGCAACTGAAACATGAAACTCCTTTCTAAAGTTCACTGTCTGATTGTTCCTATTGCTTTAGGTAACATTTTTATTAAGCGGTCTGATAAATATCATTCATAATTTGAGTCTTATCATATTTGTCATGCCCTTAAAGGCCCAAAAAGTTTGAGCAAATGTGCTTGTTTCCTTCACTAGGTTTCCAATCTGGATTTGGAATCAAAAATCACATGAATAGCCTCTTTAAAAAGCTCTTTTGATGTCGTTTTGCCTTCACCCTGATTGACATTTCATATAAAATATCAAGCAGGGTGAAGGTTTTGGCCCTCTTACACACTGGAGGAAGGATTCATTGATGTAAGATTTGCTCTGGCACCCAAGAGAATCCTCATCATATAAGCAACTGAAACATGAAACTCCTTTCTAAAGTTCACTGTCTGATTGTTCCTATTGCTTTAGGTAACATTTTTATTAAGCGGTCTGACACTTGAATGTTTTAAAAAGCATAATATAGGTCTTCAAAGGGTAAAGGGTGGTCCGTATCCTCGTCACATGTTTTACCCTTCCTTCTTTTTAATATATATATCTCTGATTACCACTAAAGAGATTAAAACAGGATACTTTTTGTGCTTAATTTCATGTTGAAATAGGATGTTTAAATGTATGTATATGTTTTTCACTCCAAAATCTGCGAAAAAATGTCAAACCATGGCAGATACTTCATCAAAACTTTTCATTTCACAATAGCTGTGTCACCGCAGGCTCTAGATAAGCCATTGTTACATTATGAGTTATCAGTGGCAAATATCAATAAAGATACAATAACACTTATGTTCTTCCAGCAGCTGTTTGATCATTTATCATGGCTCTTTAACATAATACGCCATGTTTTTAATGACAGTTTAACAGTACAGTACATAAACAGTGGAAAAAATAGTATATGTATAAATTTAAAAAACATTGGCCTCAGAACTTATATTTTATTTTGGACATCAAACTTATTCATATAAAAGAAAATATTAAAATCTCATTACTTATTCAAATGACAAATTACTGTATTAACTGCATAAACCCAACACTATGCAAATGTAACATGAATAGGACGATGTTCTAAATGCATAAAGAACAGAAGAATGAATTTCAGATTTATTACAATTTTTAATACAGTTGTTTGATTCCATGCACAGCATTTGACACCAAAAAAGTGCGCATGTGAGGCCTTTTCATTTCCCTTTTAGTTGATAAATCTGTTCATTGTGTTATTCTAATTATAAGGAATATATGCTTGGTTGCATCTAATTATTTGCATTTAGTATTTTTTATTTTTTTTTCCTGCTGTTCGCTATGCCATCAGAAAAGACATTTTTGGTTTATCTAAAATCTGTTAGTAGTCCAAATACGTTTTGGGGCCACCGTATGTACGTATTGTAAACTTTGCTTTTAAATTGTGCCAAACAAAATAAAGTGACTTTATAGATTAGATTTTCTAAATAGTTTCTTATCCTTCATGGTGGGAGGCGTGTGCAACTACATTACCCAGAAGCCTCTGGCTTATAGGTGGCGCTTTGGGCATCGTAAACATGGTAATCAAACCGCAAGAGCGCTATAAAACCTGCAGGATTAGAGAGCCGGACTTTAACATCACTCATCAGCTGTACTGTACATGATCATAAAGTCAGCAGAGCATTAATAACTCAATGGCCAGAGTTTTATGGCTTTATCTTGTATAAGTGATAGTTTGTTCAGCCGTCACGCTTTGAGTTCCCTGCGCTTTTCAGAGGAAATCTCTTTATTGTTCTCAAAGCTCTGCGTGTGTTTGTGAAGTGAACTGTGTGAAAATAAGGATGGCGGTGTCTAAGTCTACATTATCAATCGTTTTTATAGTTCTGGGAGGTTTGTCGGTTTTATTCGGGACTGTGCTGGTGTTTGTCGGACCTATTATAATAGACGATCAAATAGTGAAGGTAAGTCCTACACCTGACAGGTGCACAAAACGCTCTAATGAACCATATTTGCATTTTAAAATAACATAAAGTTACAAAAACACGTGCTTTAGTGTCGACCAGCCTTGAACTGAGCTCGATATGACTTTCTGTAGTTGTCTTGTGCATTCTACTATGACCCTACTATGAACTTTTCTCCATCATTTAAAGGGGTCATATGATGCGATTTCAATTTTTCCTTTCTCTTTGGAGTGCTACAAGCTC